AATAGTGGGATTAATCGTCACATTATAAGCCCCCACGGCTGAAAGGGCGAGCATGTTTGGTGTGACGAGACATTCTGGATAGAAAACAGCCTATTTCGTGTATGAGCTCAATAACCACGTTACATGAAACCTACATACTAAAAATTGTTCATGGTAAACCATAGGACACCACTTGTTTACGTAGGGGTACTGTGACTTTCTCTCTCCCATACAATTCAATCCACTGCTACTTTGATCGATTTGACTGACATTGGTTAACCCTACCATACAATATCAGTTCACTTGTTGCACAGGTGAGCTCTGCAGTACATACATTCTAAGAATGCTGATGCCAGAACCAAGATCGGTGACAACTACATTCATTTTGTAAATCTTCAACACATAGTTAAAGCATGACTTCTTCCTTCACATCTAATTTATCTCCATTTGCTAGAATAAAGTTTGAATTGATAAGCCTGAATAGCGATTTTGTTTGTAGCAAATGATATACTGCGAAGTTTAGCAGTGTTCTGGCCTCTCCTGCATCAACGAGGAACCTCATCTCGTGCCCTTGTACTCTGAGAGGCCTATACCAGAGACCCACCTAGTTCTGAAAGAGTTGGGCTAAACACTACACTTTTTAATGCAAACTGTTTGTTGCACTCCCCCAAGTCAATGGCTAAGTTCGAAATGAGCTCTTCTAGTTTTTGAAGTTACAGTTGCAGTATTCACTGTCTATTGTAGGCTTTCTTGAACATGTCACACCATTGGTTGAAAGAGATAGTCTTGTCTACCTTTTTTCTGGCAAGCAAGGTAGGGGCAATTAGCTCAAATTGACCCAACTCTCCATAAGTAAAGCATGTTCTTTGTTCTTCTCATCTAGAATTATGTCTGGGCAGAGTCATTAGTGGCATGTGGTGCATCATATAAATCATGGGAGGACTAGGATAGCCCTATCCATTCATTTGATATCAGTGTGGTTACATTCTGATACAAGGATGAGTGATTGGTTAGTTTACCTTCAGGCGAGTCTTAAACTGGTGTGACATTAATGCCTGTACAAGAGAGTCTGTGAGATAGCTCCAATTGTCATATTTCATCTCCCAAGGCACCCCCAGTCTCTCTTGGTTAGTTGTTAGTGGCTTCAACCAGCGCTGGGGATGAGTTACTCTGGCTGGTATAAGTATGAGAATCCTATACAGAACACCTCATCTGATGTCATACCTATAACTTTCCATTTATCAATGATTCTTTGTCCATATTTCCCTTGCACACTCTAGAGAAGACCATGATCCATCATTCTATCTGCACCATATTCTGGTCAGTGACAACGAGATAAAGAACATGACCATTTGAAGCATAAGCATGATTTCATTAATTTATTCAGATTATGTTGAACTTTTATCAGAAGGTATTTTGAAGTTGTGAATAGACAGGTTACGAAATTTTCAAGGTTAGAAACGTCTGTCACTGTTCATGAAGTAATTGACTTAATTAAAGTTACCAATGTAAAGTGTTCATTTACTGTTCTATGCCACTTCCACATTTGGAGCCAAGCTTTGTCTCTATAACAACTGGATAATGGTGGAAGATCTCATGTGTATGCAACATAGCTGAATTAATTGACTGGGGCTGTTGTCAGCACGAGTATGGGTATAGCATTGTTTCACATGAAGCTAATGTGCATTGCACATCCACTAATGCTTGGAACAAACATGTTCTGAAATGACACTTGTCCTTAGGACCAGATTTAGACCACTTGGAGATCCCATGAGTTATTATCAAAAGATTAGCCTCTACAATTGTTAATATCGATGTTTAACTTCTGTGTATGAAATGAAAAAGCTTCCAGTAATCCTTTCCCATTGGATTCATCATTGGTGATAAATCTGATGAAATGTTCGGAAACATGAGTACCATCTGATACACTACAGTTAACAATACACAGATTTACTGATAGTTGCTCCTGATAACTAATATCAGGGGTACAGTCCATTATCACAGCAAAATATCTAGTAGAGTGAACTTTCTTAATTATCTGTTGCACATGATACCCAAGAAGCTTGATGGATTCATTTAATAATGTTTTGCTGAGATAGTGGTCACTCATTTCGTTATGCTGAAGTAGTTTCAGATGTTCTGAAAATGTTGAATTGGACATTGCTAGCAGCTCTACTTATCTGAAAGAGTTTCCATAATGTGGTTCAGTTATGCCATGAAGAGATGTTTCTCTCAGCCAGATGATGAATGATGTCAGCAATTCAAGCTGAAAACACTCTACAGTATTTTTTCTCTTGCCTTATCAACTCAAAATTGACATTTTTAATCCCACCTTTACCCAGAACTGCACACTTTATGCTATTTGTTCATGATTGTTATATGTAGGAGTGAATGTTCATGGTCCTTTAGTGCATTTTACAAGCATTGCCAGGAATAAAACCCTTGTGAACTAAGAGTAGAGGTTTTGTAGTTATGAAAATAAATACTTACAAACAAAAAAATATTTGATCACCTTAAAGACGAGAACAAATTTCAAATACTTAACAGTGACTTCACCAAACACATTGAAACGAAAGCTAAAGAGATTATCTATGAACTTACAAAACAAGAAACCACCCTAAGAAGCTACTGGATGAACTTAAACTTTCTAATAGCCACATAGCAGAATTGTACGTTTTACCAAAGTAATATAAACCGGATATGCCACTAAGACCCATAGTTTCAGCATAGTGCTATTGAAAGTTCTTGGCTTATACATACAGTTTTGGTGTTGTTACTAAATTAAATTCCAGCCCACTTAAATAATAGACACGATCTGCTATCACGAATAAAGGATGTACCCCATAGTAACCAACACAAAAATTATCTTTACATTGGATGTCATAGCTCTCTACCTATCTATACAAATAGAAGATGGCGTCAATGCAGTGTGTGAATTCATGTCGAATTACATAAACAATTTGGAGATGTGCGGACTGACAGTAGACATTTCATCCTTCACAATAGATATTTTCGTTTTGACAACAAACTATATCTCCAAATTAGTGGTGTCTCAATGAGTAATAGAGTCGCTGTTATTTATGCCATATTATTTATGTACAAGTGGCGTCAAGATACCACCATCAGCCCTAATTTCTGGTTTAGATACATCGATGACGTATTTGGACGGTGGAACCACGGTCTTCCTTCATTAATCCAATTTTTAGGCTTTCTAAATTCCATAGACTTCAACATCCAATTCACCGTGAATCATTTGAATGACAAGAGGACCATAGATTTTCTTTATGTTACCTTAAGGATTGACAATGAGAATGATATAATCAATCTACCTTGTTTCACAAACCAATTAGAAAATCTCTCTCCCTTAACTTCAACTCCCATCATCCCAAAGCTTCCAAGAACGGTGTAGTTACTGGAGAATTAATTAGAATCGGTCGCAACTGTAGTGAGAAAAACAGTACACGCTCTGAACTAAAATCACTTCTACTGAGCAACGAGTATCTATTTTTTTTACATCGAACAAATTTTCAAGGACTATGACATACAAAAGTCAGCATCGCTCTTCCAACGTGAGTAAACGCAAAAAAACAAAGGAGGAAAACCAATATTCTAAAGGTAACACACACACACACAAAAGATTATTTTTATAACACCTTTAATTGACGAAGCTATCTTTAAGAAACCGGTTTTCGATACCCATGGTAGACAGAGGACAGATAGCCCATTGTGTAGCTTTGTGCTTAATTACAAACAAACACAAATCTTCAAGAAAATAAAAACTATAATCAGGAAATCCGAACAGCCGATTAAAGTTATAGAACGGCCAGGTCCAACCCTAAGCCAACTTTCAAAATCTCAATACACTACCCTACAATGTAATAAAACCAACTGTCTTAGAAAAACAAACTTGTTTGCAATCTAAGATAAAGATGAGTGTCTTGTTCCCAATGTTGTTTACTAGCTTAAATACGTAACTTCTGCCATCATACATACACAGTGGAACAGGAAAAACCCTACACATAAGGATATAACATATTGACGCTCTTTATAAACAACAACACGAAAGAAGCACAGTATCAGATCATTTTAAAACTCATCATGGACAACTAATACCTGATCTGAAACCTCCAAGTACACTGACAGAAAATTTTAAGAAGCTCTCCTAATCGAACAGCTACGACCACAGATGAATAAAGACAAAGGATGGCGCCTATAATTATTATTTTTTTTTTGTTATTTCAATCTATAACTTTGATAGAACTTTTGTTTATTACAGGTAACATTTAATATGTCAAAAACAAGCTGTACTAATGCATTTTATGGATTCGAATAGAATTTATTATTTAAATCAATTGAAGCTTTGTACTGTCAGTTTCGATTTGTTTTTTAGTGGAATGCTCCAGAAGAAGCTGTAAGCGAAACTTGTCTAATTAAATAAACATTACAATTTGGTGTTATAAGATAATTTATTTTTAGTATTAAAACGTCTTCTATACATCAATATGCACTACAGAAATTTAATAATAGTCAATGTTGACGCACGTAAAAATAGTATGCCTAAGAACCGTATGTTAGGCTACTTTGTTAGAATAAAATGCTCTGTATTTTAGAATAATTATGAAATTCACTAATGGTTCCCAAAAACAAATTTTACCTATGAAAATGATCTTTATCATAAAAGAAGAAGAAAGGTTACATCAATGGAAGAAAAATCGGTATGTACTTAAATAATGTTAGACTGGTATATGTATATCGATTACCGTTTTATTCTATTCTGTGATAAATGCGCTGTTGAGAGAAGCCCCTGTGTTTTATGATTAAAAATAAAATTTTACTTTGAAAAACTGATCAAACTCATCTTTTCTTTAATATATTGATCGCAATATATACACATGATTTTAAAAATGGTCATTTATTATAAACCAATCAATTATCTTAAACATATAAATTTTAATAGCATTAGCAATCATCAACATCGAAATATTCTATTTTTTTTGTCGAAAATTGTAGAATTAGTTACTATGAGGAATCCAGTAAAAAGCGTAAACGAATACTTGAGAGACTCTCTTGTGGTAGGCTCATACCATTATTTTACACTTTTATAATTAGTAGATTTAAGTTTTTTCTATTATTTGGTTCCTGCAATTGGCATAAAAACACGAATTTGTCAGTTAATATTAAAACAGTATTAGGAAAGTAGGCTTACAAGCAGATACTAGTCCGTATTGTCTTTATCACTACGTGAAGCATTTGTACGCGAGTTCAAGGTTACCTTTTCAATTATCACATACGAATGTCGAGTTAAAGGAACCAATCATGTTTCCTGATTGTGAATGGCCGAGCTCAAGAGCTACTGGTTTCTTTGGGTAGGATTTTTTTTAAGAGAGTAAATTGCTAGATTTGTGTGTGTGTGTGCAACTTCAGTTTAATTCATTTTCCTTCACTTAATTACATGCTGCACATATTAATTTTGTTTAATTACCAACTTTTGTTTCTCAGTTTTGCTGGCTTCTTTCTTTTTTTTCTTCTGGTAATAAAAACACCTTTTGTATTCATGTCCACTAAAACCAGAAACACAATATTCTGTGAATTCTAAGCACTTGTAGGCATTTTTAAAAATCTGAATTATCTATGTGGAGCAGCAATCAGTATTTAGAATGGAAAGCATTATGTCAGTGACCCTGCTTAGTTTTCTTGTCTTCTACTGCATTGCAGAAAGCTATTCAAGGTATCATTTTATGGCCAAGTCTGTAATCTAGATCTCCTCGGTTCACTGGCAATGTAAGCTTGCCTAGGCCTTGGAATGGTGGAAAATACACCATCAGCAAGTGTGTATTGAACACTGCCAAGTTTAGTCATATTGAAAATTATTTTCAGTATTTCTGACATTTAATGACTATACCATTTCAAAATTGTACGAGTCTAACACACAAGTTAAAGAGGTATGACTAGTAGATATGTTATGTCTCGAAACCATCCAGAGAATATATAGTTAGATAAAGGTCAAACTAGGGTTCAACTGTATTCACTTACATGTGCAGAGGCAACTTGGTAATGCTAGGATTTGACCTGAGCTTTAGAGGCCAGCAGCACAATATGCTATAATTAGAATGCACTCTCTGTATTCAGCTGAAAGCTAGGGATGTGTCTCTTAAGTAAGTGGCTAGGCAGTTTTATCAAGTCTCTAGCTCAAGTGTGATGAGGCAAGATGAAGCTTGTAATCTATAAGATGAGTAATTAAGGAAGACACAGATCATTTCTTCAAGAATTTGAGATAAGATATAGTTTGGAATGCATGGATATCAAACAGGTAACACTTCTACTTTTAAGCTTGGACAATCCAGTGCTGAATTCCATCAATCAGGTCTCTAATTGGTGTTCTATTGTAGTGGCATTATGCAATGTAGTAAATCAAGTAAATCGTAGCTTGATGATACAGGCCTCATGGGATTTTAACCACCTATGACAGTGGTTTCCAAACAGTGTATCACAGCAAGTTGCTACGAGTGTCCCAATAGTTTCACCAAACAAATAATAATTAAGAACATAAAAAAAACCTCAACAAAAAAATATTGCATGGGGCAGCAGGGGTGTCACACAAATCAAGGTAAGTTGGTTAAAGTGTCAACAATGGAAAAAAAAAAAAATGGAAATCACTGATCTATGAAGATGACACTTGCACTGCCTATATGGGTAGGCATAACCCAGAAAGACTTTGGAGGATTGTAGGTAAAATTTTGTTGAAAAATTTACTTAAACGTTCTGTTGAAAAAATGTATGTGGCACTACATGGGTGTGTGAAATATTTCAAAACTTACAGAAACAGTACTAGTCACAACTACATTTAATGTGGTGACTTCAAAAAACCTGCAGAAGTAAAGAAAGCCTGCAGCCTCAGCTATAGTAGTTCCAAGACCTACACAGCTTACTAGGACAACCACACTTTGAAAAGTTTGAAATAACCAAATAAGCTCGACTGCAAATATCCAGGTGGAAACAGTTAAAAAAAAACAACACATTTTACAGTACATTACTAAACAAATGCTTTTTTTTAAGTGTGAAGGTAATAAAAAAGATACAATAATATCAAATCAGTTTTCTAAAATTTACTTTAATAGTTATATATGTTAATCATAAGCTTATGTAATGTGATGCATGTAGGTTTTCACAATTCAAATTATTGTTACAATTTAAATGGGGAATACATTAAATACTGTGGTTGAAGTAAAAGATCTTGGTGTTGTGATCGAAAATCACTTAAGCCATCTAAACAATGTATTGTAGCTAGCAACAGGGCTAATAGGATTTTGGGTACCATCTGTAGAAATACTGAATATAAGATGAGGGATATTATTATTTCACTGTACAGATCGCTTGTAAGGCCTCATTTAGAGTACTGTGTACAGTTTTGGGCTCCCCTCCTCAAGAAGGACATTAAATTGTTGGAGAAGGTTCAGATAAGAGCCACTAGGATGATACCTGGGATGGTGGAATTGTTCTATGGGGAGAGACTAAAATCTCTAAATTTGTTGTCTCTGGAGAGGAGAAGAGTCAGAGAGGATTCGATTTAGGTGTTGAAGATTATTAAGGGTATTGATAATATAGATCCATCAAACTTTTTTGTGTTTAGCAAAAACAATAGGACAAGGGGTCATAAATTAAAATTTTTCCAGTGTAGGAGTCTGCAGTTTAGACAGTATT